GAGCAGGTGGACGTGGACGAGCTGGCCATGGCGCTGGATGGCGGCCAGGAGAGCTGCATGAGCGCCATGAGCGGCGGCAGCTCCGTCAACGACCACGACGAGGACTCGTCCCCCGCGTCCAAGCCGGGCCGGCCGCGGCGCGCCGGCACCAGGACGCGGCGCACGCGGGCCAAGAGCCCCACGCAGGTGAGCCCCGACCCCAACCCGCTCCTAACGCCCCCCCGTTCGGCGCATCGTAGCAGGACCGACTGATCCGACCTGCCGGGGCGCGTGTCCGCGTCCTGCGCGCAAGAGTTGCGCCGGAGGGTTAGGCAGCCCAAGCGACAGCCGTGTCGAGGTCTAGAGGCTGATCGGCCGGCGGGCGCGGCCCGCTAGGGTGGGTGACGGGTCCCAGTGCGCCAGCTCGGGACCAAGCCCGAGGTCTCAACCTCCGAGTAGCTAACCCTGTCAATCCCCACTTTAACGAGGGGGGCAACCACTTACATTTAAGATGTACGCAGGATTACGTGATTAGAGGGGTTACCTGTGAAGTGTGAGGAATTACACATGCATTTTGTTGAATTTCCGAAGATAAAACTATTCAATTTGGATAATTAGGGGAAATTAAGTGATAATTTTTCAAAATTTGGTTAAGTATTACACGTACTACATAGGGATTACACAGGGATTACACTTACACCTGCACACAGGATTGCGCACTTTAATCTGTTTTAATTTCTTCATCTCTGACAAAACATTTCGCAGTGCCCTTTTCCGACCATTAAAATAAAAGAAGCGTGGCGCAGTCGTTGTAAGTAATTCTTCGTTCATGTTTGAAAAAGAGTCGGATCAAAAGATCGCACCAGAAAAGGATTCCGCCCATTTTGTCCTTATTTGCTTTTCGCCCCCGTTTCCTTCTCTTTCTACATAATGTCCATTTAGTCGCGCCGTGCTCCTTGTCTCACTCCTTAGCGGCGAATCGGCACCCATTATCTCATCATTATTCGTCCAAGATCACAGCGCCACCACCAACCTCTCTCCGTTCACGATCTGCGGCGGCTGTGCGCGATCTGCATCTGTGCACGTGCTGCTCGGCCAATCACACGTGCGCGCTAAGTGGGTGCACGACAAGTGGGCGGGGCCAGCGCCATCCCCCCAGGGCCGGCCCGGCCGCGCCCACCCCGCCCCGCCTCCCCGCCGCGGAGCAGCGCGGAGCAGCGCGGAGCGTCGCCATGGCGACCGGGGGGTTCATCAGGGGTGGAGGTGGTTGACTGAGGTTTAAACGGCCGGTGGGCGAGGCTGGGCGGGGGTTGGCGGGGGTTGGGCGGGCCGACAAGGGGCGAGCGCGCGGCGCGGCGGGCCGGGGCCGGGCTGCAGTCAGTCGTCAGTCAGTTCTCGGGGGAGCAGGGTGCGAGCAGGGTGCGCGCAGGGAGCAGCGAGCAGCGAGCAGGGAGCAGGGCAGGGTGGGCCGCGCCGCGCAACCGGGTCGTTCCGCGCCGCAGCCGCGAGTTGGGCCGCGTTGGGCCGCGACGTGTTAACCTGCGGTGTATTTGCGTCACCGTGTTCTACAGTGCCGTGCAGCAGAAAGTGAAGAGAGGACGCCCCCGAATCGGATAGAGCTTCGTGAACATTATCCCCTAGTAGATGCGTGTATTTAGAGAAACGGATCGGACCCGCCGTTGAGTTTGTTTTTAACGGTAAGTTTTTGTGTGTCGTATGTTGTAAGTGTATTCTGTGTGCTGTGTATGATAT